AAAAAAAAAAAAAAAAAAGAAATGACAGAAAGGAAATTTAGAATACAGATGATGAAAACAATGAAGGAAATGATGGAAACAATGAAGGAAACTGCTGATAAAGTGGCAAATGACCAAAAGGAAATCCAAAAACAGAACCAAATAAGAAACAAATGATATGAAGAATATAGAAAGGATATAGCAGACCTGAAGGTACTGAAGCAGTCAATTAGGGCACTTAAAGATGCAATAGGAAGTATCAACAACAAATTAGACCATGCAGAAGAAAGAATCTCAGAGGTAGAGGATAAAGCTCTTGAGATAACTCAGATAGTTAAAGAGGCAGAAAAGAAGAGAGAGAAAGCAGAAGGTTCACTGACAGAATTATGGGACTTGATGAAGCGTTAAAACATATGAGTTATAGGTATCCCAGTAGGGGAAGAAGAAGGCCCCAGGGGAATGGAAGTCATACTAGAGAATATTATAAATGAAAATTTCCCCAAATCACCAAAGATTCTGACACACCACTTTCAGAGGGATATCAGACCCCAGGTCGCCTCAACTCTAACACAGCTTCTCCAAGACACATTGCCATGAACCTGTCCAAAGTCAAGACAAAAGAAAAGATTCTTCAAGCTGCCAGGAGTAAGTGCCAGTTGACCTACAGGGACAAATCCATCACGGTAACTATAGACTTCTCTAATGAAACTTTTCAAGCAAAAAAACACTGGTCATCTACCTTTAATCTACTTAAAGAACAATTTCCAGCCAAGTATTCTATACACTGCAAAGCTAAGCTTTAAAATTGACAGAGAAATCAAATAATTTACTGATATACAAACACTGAGGAAATTCACCATAACAAGATGAGCTCTACAGGAAATATTTCAACCTCTTCTACACACTGACCATCACAATGGATCAACAGCAAAGAACTCAGAAATTAAAGGACAAAACCTAACTTCCACAATGATGCAAAAGATAAAACTAAACAATGGACTCTCACAAAATAAGATAAATAGAACACTACCACACTTATCAATTATCTCAATAAATGTTAATGGCTTGAATTCCCCACTGAAGAGGCATAGATTGGCTGATTGGATTAAAAACACAAGCCATCCATTTGCTGTCTGCAGGAAACACACTTAGCTTCAAAAAACAAATTAAAACTCAGAGTTAAGGGTTGGAAGACAATTTTTCAGGCAAACGGAATTCAAAAGAAAAGAGGAGTTGCAATCTTATTTTCAGATATGTGTGGATTTAAAGCAACTAAAGTCAAAAAAGACAAAGATGGGCTCGGCGCCTATAGCTCAA